TCTACTGTGAAAAGCCTCATCTCCTTTCAGATATATTTGTTCAGACCCGCCATATACTTCATAAAAATGGGATATTCCTCTGTTGCGATGTTGAGGATCATTACCTGCTGCTGGAACTCCGTCGTATACTCTTGAACGGTCTGGTTGAACCATTGGCACAACTCGTACCACTTGTACCAACGCTCTTCGAGGAACCCTACTGGATAAAATTACTTCCTAAGTAGTTCTTTGAACTTGTTCCACGATACTGCCTTCTTCTTCTGCTTGCAATAGGATTTCTACCATGTCAATGCATGCCCTGAAAGCTTCAAAGTCGCGAACACGAGCTTCTCCTTGGATGAATATCCGTAGAGTGTGAAATAGGTCTCCATCCGCTTGATCCAATCATCAAGCCTCTCGATGTTGACACTCCCGTCATAAACAGGAATCTCCACTTTGAAGTCTATCTATAAATTCTGGTAAGAACCTTTACCCCCTTGGTGTGAAACAAACTTAACAACATGGGCCTCCTCATCTGAATCAGAATCCTCGCCTTCTCCATCAGACTTCACAAGTTTCTTCTTGCTTTTCGAAGAAGATTCCTCCTTGTTTCCTTTGTCTTTAACAAGATTGATGAGTTGCACGAGGGTCGAACCCATTGTCTCCATCTGCTTCTCCAATGCATCTAGCCTTGTTGAACTATCTCCTTCAGTCATATTCTTCTTCCTTAATTTCTGGACTCTTTCCAATGAAATAAGGATCTCACCTAGCTTCTTGTATTATGATCGAGTCAGGATCATACACAGGATGCCCCCTTCACATGATCTGATCGCTCTGATACCAACTTGATACGAGTTTTGAATCCACAAAAGCTCCTGAATCTGTCTCTTGATCTCCTCAGACTCCTCTACAGATGTTCGGTATAGGCCTATATTCGGCAAGGAACTCTCGCCGGTCAACATAATCTCATGCTCCACACCTCACAGTGGTGGTAGTCCCGTGATCTCCAAAAACATGTCCTCGTACTTAGCCTTCAACCTGTCAAGATATCCTTCCTGAAGTTTGCTCAAGGTAGTCAAGCACATCCTACTCAGCTGCTTCTCATAAGGCCTAATGAATAATAATATAAACTTCTTGCTTGCATTCACCAGCCTCTTCGCCTGAGTCACTGTCACCAAACTCGTCTCCTAAGGAAGAGACGCCGAACGAAAAATGAATTGTTCGCCATCTTTGGTGAATGTATACTTCTGGGCCCGCCTATCATAGACCGCATATCTATCCCATAAATAAGGATTACCCAGTATCACTTGACAAACATCAAACGGAACGATGTCACATGTGACCTCATCGATATACGACTCGTGGAGTGCAAATCTGAACGTACATTGGTTGATCACACTCAATCCCGCCTCCTTCTGAGTCAACCCCAAAGGATAGGGTTTCAGATGTTTAACCGTCTTCAATCCCAGCTTCTGAACCAAGGCCTCGGATATCAAATTCTTTTGGCTCCCTGGATCCATTATGGCATCAACCAAGCTGGTCTTAACTTGCAGCTTTAAAACAAAGAGTTGTTCTCTCGGGTCTTCGTCTTCTGTCGTAGCCTGCTTCCCCGTCATGAGGTTAAGACTGCTGTTGGGTTCTGTCATCCTATGAACTTCCTTCGGGCCCTATGCTACCACGTATGCTTTCTTCTCCTTATTTTCTTCAATCCCTTCGGCTTTAGATGAGGATACTTCTCCCAGCAAAGATCAGCTACATGTCCTGTCTGTTTGCAGTGATTGCATGTCAATCCTACCTTCCCCGAGTCACCATTCTTCTTCTCTTTCTTGGGTTGAGAGCCACTAGACTTGCCTCCCGTTTGTTTGGATTCCCCCTTCGTTTCGTTGCCCTTCTTTTGCCTACCCTCAATGGTAATGACCTTCATACTCGCCTCTGCAATGGACTCTACTGTGAAAAGCCTCATCTCCTTTCAGATATATTTGTTCAGACCCGCCATATACTTCATAAAAATGGGATATATTACCTGCTGCTGGAACTCCGTCGTATACTCTTGAACGGTCTGGTTGAACCATTGGCACAACTCGTACCACTTGTACCAACGCTCTTCGAGGAACCCTACTGGATAAAATTACTTCCTAAGTAGTTCTTTGAACTTGTTCCACGATACTGCCTTCTTCTTCTGCTTGCAATAGGATTTCTACCATGTCAATGCATGCCCTGAAAGCTTCAAAGTCGCGAACACGAGCTTCTCCTTGGATGAATATCCGTAGAGTGTGAAATAGGTCTCCATCCGCTTGATCCAATCATCAAGCCTCTCGATGTTGACACTCCCGTCATAAACAGGAATCTCCACTTTGAAGTCTATCTATAAATTCTGGTAAGAACCTTTACCCCCTTGGTGTGAAACAAACTTAACAACATGGGCCTCCTCATCTGAATCAGAATCCTCGCCTTCTCCATCAGACTTCACAAGTTTCTTCTTGCTTTTCGAAGAAGATTCCTCCTTGTTTCCTTTGTCTTTAACAAGATTGATGAGTTGCACGAGGGTCGAACCCATTGTCTCCATCTGCTTCTCCAATGCATCTAGCCTTGTTGAACTATCTCCTTCAGTCATATTCTTCTTCCTTAATTTCTGGACTCTTTCCAATGAAATAAGGATCTCACCTAGCTTCTTGTATTATGATCGAGTCAGGATCATACACAGGATGCCCCCTTCACATGATCTGATCGCTCTGATACCAACTTGATACGAGTTGCCGTGCGAGCATCCTTGATCGCGGAATTATCAAGAGTGGGTTGTGAAGAAAACAACAGAAGAACACACAAAGAGTTGATTTGAGCGAAGGAAAATATATTCTCTAGATTATGAGAATTAATCGATTACAAATCTCTTTCTCACAATATCTGTAGATCAAAAAACAACCTCTCTGATCTCTTTTCTGATTACAATCTGGATGATCAACCCTAGAAAAGTCGTGTTTCTATTTATATCAAATAGAAATCCTAAACAGTGCAGGAAACTAAGCTCAGGTCCAAAACTACGTCGCGGTCGACCGTGACGCTCGACCGTGCAGGTATCGCGGTCGACCACGACGATCGACCAAACCAACTTCCAGAGAGTAAAATAGTTACAGTCATGGCGCGGTCGACCGTGGCGGTCGACTGAATCTCCTCGCGGTCGACCATGCAGGTATCGTGGTCGACCGAATCCAACTCCAGAGACTTAAATTCCTATAGGGTACGCGCGGTCGACCGCGGCCGTCGACCGCCTTCGGATCCAGCTCCTCCTGAGCTCTTGTGCACGTTCGCGGTCGACCGTGGCTGACTCGCGATCGACCGCAGGCAGTCCAAACTTGTTTCCTGCAGATTCCTGTAGCCTTCAACGTTGACGCCTCTGACGACTTCTTCCACGTCTCTATTCTTAAGATACTATGAGAGTCATCTATCCTCAAACTTCTGATGAGGATCGCTAAGCTCCCGAAGTAAGAAAGAAGATACACCCGTATCAGAAACTCCTCTCCAAAGGCTTAGCCCCTTCGAGAATACCACCATGGCTTACCAGAGATTCCTTCAAGTTACAAAAACTCTCCAATCACACTCTGTGCATCAACAAAACTGAGATGGTGGAAACACCAAGCTGAAAAGTGAATTTCAAGCCCTCATGAATAACCTAAGCGGCCGTGGACAACTCGATCCTTTTGATTATAACTGCTTTCAACCATGTGTATTCCTTGGCTCCTTCAAATATAACAACGCTCCAACCCTCTTTCTTTGTATCTTGATCTGTGTAGTTTTTATTAATTTATTGATCAGTGTCTTTAGTTTTAGGCCAAAATAATTCACTTTTTTAATTAACATGTCCAATTCTTATCAGGTTCAGATCCTCTCCACTACTAAAAAGTAGTAGAGAGATAATTGCAAATTCATAACCATTGATTTGTTTGGTGAATAGTTGTGAGTTGCCTTTGAGCGTAAATTAGGAAAATAGTGCAATTCATAGGGATATGGTGACTGACGAGTGTTAGACATGGAATGAATCATAACCATTCACTATGTTGATAAACGACTTTTGATTCATATAGCGGTCTCTCCATTATTATTATTTTTGATAGTGAAGAAGATCCAAATTCTTACAGAATAGACCGAGCGAAACTACTTTTATTAGCTTCCATTCATATTGGTTTTTAATCCGAAATGATTCAGTTTGGCCGTAGATTTGTCAAGAGTGAACCTAATCTGATTGTTCACCCTACCCTCTTTCCTTCTGGTTGTTTTTCCTTTATTATCTTTTCGCATATGAATATTATATATTTGTCTATATAGTTATGCTAAATATCATAAAAACTCCCCCTTCACTTCAAAATAACAGAAAACCCCTTTAAGTTTAGGGGTTATCAGAAATCCCCTTTAACTTTAAAATTTTATCAGAAAAACCCGCTAAATCTTGAGGTGTCTTCTGATAAAATCTGAAAGTTAAAGGGTGTTTATTGATAACCCCTATACTTGAGGGGTGGAGGGGGGTTGGTTGTCAGATATTTTGGAAGTTAAGGGGGTTTTGTCAACAATCGTCCAAAGTTAAGGGGTGTTTTCTGATATTTACCAATATATTAACGTATGATCAATGATCAGATTCAGTATCAAACTTATAGAACTTGATCCATACGTCACACAATTGATGACATTTTCCTTAATGTCCCAAAGCATTTTTCATGAAGAATGATCAGTATATATTACTTTTCTCGAAACATTATGATGAAAAAGACATAATGCATAATAAGGCCATCAATCATTAAGAGTCAGATCAAAATCTTTGGTCATGCTAACTGTTGAGCCGAGTAAACTATAAACAGGAAAGTTGGCAGTAATCGTAATCTCCATGAACTGAAAATAGCAATTCCATACAATGTCACAGTATCACTCTAGTGTCCAGAGATCAAGGTTACAGTTTGCAGCAGATTGATAATCTAGCAATAACCAAGTAAATTAAAACAAATCCGGAGCCTTGCCCAAAATTTTCGATAGGATAATAATACTAATGCAACTTTATTGAACAAAAGATACGGAAAAAGTTAAAAACTTATCAGCAACGTACGATCAAGATCTCTGAACAATGCACAGTATAATAAAACCATCCGGTTTCTACAAAATTTTTGTAGCATCAGGCAACATGGGACAAATATGCACATTGGGCTGTCATATACAACAATTTAACCCTTATGACTATAATTTCAGAGCTGCTGCTCCTCTTGTTTTCTCTACCTTGATGGCCTATCAACATCGGTGCTCTCATTTGCACTGCTGTCACTTGCTTCAGCTACCGGCTTCTCTGACAATCTTTCTTTATCATGCGGGCTGTATCGGTATGATTGCCTTTGATCTCTAGCAGCTCGACGTTCCTGAGGACCATACAAAGATAAAGTCCTGGTAAGATATAATTATACTTTCTTAAATGTTAAAAATGAACTAAAGATGAGCAATTTATGATTAGTTTTCAACCAGATATCACTACTTGTTAAGTACACACATCCTCGACATATATGTACCTAAAGAAAGAGGATATGCTTTCAGTTCTCTTATTGGTTTTTTCAATCTCATCAAGTAGACATGCAAAAATTGATGCAGTAAAGTATCACACTCACAGAAATTAAGAAGCCAATAGGGGGAGGGGGGGAAGGGGGTGGAGAATGTTGGCAATCAGAAATTATGACATAGCTTTACAAATGCAATGATGGAACGATTTGCGGGGTTAAAATTATTAATATTGTCATCAAACTTGCATACATAAAAGGTATATGAAAAGAAAATCATGAATTTTAAAAGTTTCTAAAACATGCATCAAATTGTTGCAAAATGGGAAATATTTTGAAAGTGGAAGAACAGACCACTTTATGTTTAGGAGCCTTCGGCTCACAATTACATGCGCAAATAATTTTTATGGTGTGCAAATCAGAAAAGAAAGAAAAAAGTTGCAGGACAATGAAATAAGATCCACCAAACACATATATACTTTATTGAATAATCTAACTTAGTGATATACATAAAAGAAGGATCCATGTGTGTGAAATTCAATCTTAAACTAGTTCTGATTCAAATGACTCACACATAGGCACAAAAAAAAGGAGAGAGAAAGAAGAAAGCAACAGGAACTGAAATATTACGCACTACATATGTTGCCAACTTAATGATAGACATGAAGGTCCTTGCATGTGCAATTCAAGTTAGCCCCAGAAGAAAGCAAAGCATAATACGATACCAATGTACAAGTGAGATTCTAATCTTGAGATGAAAATTATAAAAAGGATGCTCTAATAACCTGAGATCGGACTTTTAATATTTAAAAAGCGTCGTTAACTTACATCTCTATATGGAAAGTCATCAACTTCAAGCATGTGGATCACATGCCCCATTTTTGGCCTCTTTTGTGCATCAGGATCAACACATCGCAATGCTACCAAAAGTGCCCTCTTCAACGCCCTTGAAGTAGGCTTTTCTGGGATTTTTGGATCCACAACCCCCTCTGAGTTTCGATTACTAACCATCGTCTTAAGCCATTCTACTAGATTAACCTGAAATTTCCAATGCAAACTTTATAAACATGCTCCAAGTACAAAAGTTAGTTGAGTTTCCATTGTATGAAGGGTTTTTAGGTATTAATCACTGAAATGTTCAATAATTCCATATTAGTACCTCAAATCTTTGAAACTGCGCATACGTCCCTCAAATCCTGAGGGCTCTTTCAATTTGGTTCCCCAGTTATCAAAATATACAGCTCAGCATATGTCTTCCCACAAAGACCCCAATGTTCGGCCCAAAAAAAAGAAAAAGAAAAAAAAAGCACAAGTTGAGGGATATTTTGGTACCTGAGGACCAATTGCAAGAGCCCTAAGTATTAGCAATTTCAAAGATCTGAGGGACTTTATAATATGGAATTATTAAAGGTTTGAGGGACTAATATGTAAAAAATCCTTCTATAAAATAAAGAAATACTCACTTCTCCTTGTGGCCTACTGTAATCAACAGGATTTCGGCCTGAAATTATCTCCATTATGAGTATCCCAAAGCTATAAACATCACTTCTCTCATTCAACATACCAGTGCTGGCGTACTCAGGAGCCACATAACTATTAAAGAACAAATGTCATAAGATCAGCTAAAGATTTAGAGTGAGATTGAGAGAAGTAATTATAATTATAACTTAATAGCTAAAACTAACCCAAATGTCCCCATAACTCGTGTTGTGACATAGCTACTTTCAGAACCCAAGAGCTTAGCCAGCCCAAAATCAGAGACTTTAGGGTTCCACTGCTTGTCGAGCAAAATATTGCTAGACTTCACATCACGATGAACTACCTTGGGCTCAAGCCCCTCATGCAAGTACATTAACCTGCATTATGATAATTTAGTTTTTTAGGTAAGAGTTAAGGACATGTACCAAGAAGTTTAGACTTGATTGATAAATTGGTAATTGAAATAGTACCCTTTTGCTGTTCCTAGTATAATGTTCATTCGAATTTCCCAAGTGAGAGGACTGGTAGGCCCAACATCCCCATGAAGCCATTGTTCTAAGTTTCCGTTGTCTACGTACTCGTATACCAACATCCTGAAGCATCAGAAACAAGAGTCAGCTTTAAGAATGATCATTAGAATAAAATTGGTAAGGAAAAAAAATGTAAAGCTAAAACGCGCATAGGTGACATGTCTAATTCTAGTTTACAGTGAAAAACATGCATGCAACCAGCAGAAGGTAGTAGCGTGAATAGCAAAATAGTAGTCAATAGACTTGAGATTTATATGGGAAAAAACTGTGAACATTACATCCTGAATAAGTAATAAAAGTTATAAGCTTCAAAATAGTTCCCGCAGATATTAACTAATGAATAAGAAAGACGCTCTAGAACTAATAAAAAAAACTAGATTATCTACAGATCAAAATCTGGAATTTCAGTATATGCATGTAGAAATTTTACAATACTTGGAAAGAAATCAGTGAAAATACATATGTAAAAGCTAAAAGGTGCAGAGTTGATATATCTGACTCTAGTTCACACAGAGAACATGGAGTAACACAAGGAATCAATGGTAATAGCATAATATTAATCAACAGCCTTGAGATTTTAATAAAATTTTGTGAATGTTTCTGAATAAGTAGTAAAAAGTTGTAAATAGCTCATGCAAATTGATTAACTAATGAATAACAAACTCCACAACTAGTTTGAACAACTTTCAATAACTTGAGTGACCCAATGACAATGCATACTCCCGTTCTAGGTTTAATAAATGATCAATCCACTGTGCATGCAGATTAATATGATGAAATGAAAACAGATAAATTCAAGACTGAAGCAGGTTAGTACCTATGAGCACCCTCTGCACAATAACCCAGCAACCTCACCAAATTCTTATGCCGAACTCGACCAATTGCTTCGACCTCAACCTTAAATTCCCTCTCAGCTTGGCCCCTAGAAAAATAAAACCAATAAATCACCAAATCAAGAACAAACAATTAGCATGCACCAAAATCACAATATCTTCAAACATCAATCAAGATGAAATTTTGAGACCAAAGCCAAAAACAAGAATTAAAGCAAACAAATGGGTACCTGTTGTTAAGCAAATTCTTGACAGCAAGCTGAGTACCATCCCCCAAAACTCCATGATACACAATCCCATACCCACCTTCACCTATCACATTCTCATCAGCAAACATATTCGTCGCCGCCTCGACCTCCCTTAACGTGTACCAATGCCCCCAACCCAAATGAGAAACCTCAGGCACATTCACCACAACTTGCTCCGTCGACCTGCTCTCCCCACTCGAGCCTCCGCCGCCATAAGTTATCCTATGATCCTTACCAATCTCAATATGAATGCGATTAAGCCCAACTGGGTTTGAGTTTGGATTTGGGTTCTCTTCATCTTGAGGAGGGACTAAAAGGGACTGCCTCTCCACGGAGAGAGATGAAGGGTTGGATTCAGGGAGTGGGGGTTTTGGGTCTGAGGATGGGATTTCTTGGATTTCTTTGGAGAAGCTCGGGATTATCGGGTTCTGGGCGGCGGTGCTGCTGCTGACGTGGCTTCTTTTGGGGCGCTTGGAGACGATCCAGAGGGAGATGACGAAGAGGAGGAGGACGAAGGCGGCGCCGACGCAGATTCCGACGACGACCCACATGTGGAGGCCGAAGATTACGGTGCGTTTTGAGAGCTCATCGTTGAGGACTGGGGCGTTGTAGCCTGACATTTAGGTGAAAGATGGGATTTTTATGTAAAAGGAGCTAAATTTGGAAGATGGGCATCCTAAAGAGTGGATTTCGGGGAAAAGGGTGGGGTTGAATTCTGAGAGTGGGAGCAGGGAGGGGAGTGCTGAATTTGGAAAAAAGGAGAAAGAGGGTGGCTTTACTTTCAATGTGGCAGGAGACAAAGTAGCAGCGAGCTCAGAGAGAGCATTGATGGAAAGAGCAAGAGAGAGAGGCCGCAGTGGAGATGAGAGTTAAGCTTTTGGGCAGTGGGGAGGGAGAGAGATCCAGCTGTCATGACGTGGACCTTGTGGGGGCATAGTAAAAGTAATGACAATAAGAATAATAGAAAAACACCAACTCAAAATATGGGATTAAGGAAGAGAACAAGTGAGGTGTCCCCCTCCTATTACATAATGAACTAATATGATGCCTCACATGTCTCCTTCAATGATCTCATATTTTGGGTCTCTATAGCAGCGCTAATAATAATAATAACAATAGTAATCACATCTACTCCTCGATACAAATGAGAGAACCAAAAATTCACTATTCATACTACAGTAAATACTATAGTAGTATTTACTGTAGCATTGTTACTGTAGCAAATATGAAACTGGACACTGAGATTTTTTGAAAAAAATATTACTATAGCACACATGAATATTGTAGCAGAGACGAGATATTGTAGCAATTTAAAAAATTCAAAAAAAAAACTATAGAAGTTAAATCAGAATTGTTGTAGCGGAAAAAAATATCGTATTTTGCACGGTGTTCACACTAGTTTAATAATAATAATAATAAGAACAACAACATTTATTTTCTAACTGCAGTTTATACCCTTCATTAGATCTAAGTAAGGTACTTCCCTCGTAAAATATCTCCAACGATTTGCTAAATGAGCTATCAAGAGATAGTCATATGATGAGGCCTACCTTGATAGTCACATCAAAAGGTGTGGACCTCACCACTCTATTTCTTAGTAGATCATTTAGCAAAATGAGCCACCGCCTCATGCTCATTATTTCTTACACACACACACACACACACACACACACACTAGTTGAGATGTATGTGTAATGCACGTGGTTGGATATCATGATTATTTAAATTGATAAAAATAGAATAAAAAAAACAAAGTCGTGGGATAAATCATCAACTCAATAATCTCTCTCAAATAAAATATTGTTATTGTTTTCTTCAATCCAGACTGTGGCCACGTGATCTAATATTTATGAGTTATAAACACATTGATCTATTACAACATCTCCGTTTATTAATATCTTGAAGTCTTCAAAAGATGGATGATCATTCAATTCGCAAAGAAATTTTGCATATGAATTTATTTGCAATATATCCATTAAACTTTTAGTTGCGGTTTGACTCATATTCACATTAACTTTTAGTTGTGGTTTCACTCATATTTACATTATCTAATATTCTCATTCAATTTTATAGCTCATTCTCTGTATCATAGAAGTAAAACTGAAAATATAAAAAAATATTTTCTTGCAAAATTATAGCAGAGAAATTATGATATATTTCGCCATGTACTCTAAATATAATTTTTTTTATCTTTGATGCAAAGTTCATATTGAATCTTGCCTCAAACGATGTGAATGAAAAAAATACTATTATAGCTCATTTGCCTAGGGCAATTGTATTATATATAGGACATATAACTCATATGGAATATCTACATCTGCTAAATCGATTTTACTGTTCTGAGAACAAAATGTTAGAGGCTCATATTCAGACTTTTTGGCTCTATAAAAGATATGAGAATTTAGAGTGCGTAGCTTATATATTATAAAGAACATGCTGGTTCATTAATAATTTTCCCTAATAACAATATTATTACAATAATATTACTATTTAGTATTAAATCAATTTTATTATATAAGATTATATGACCCTTTTTATTAAATTATAAATTATATATATAGAAACCTCAAAGCTTATAGCTGGTAATTGGACTCCACAAAATATGTTAACTTTACATTATAGTTTGTTATTGGAAGTACTGTTGGCAATGTCATTACCTTTCATATTTATCTTATTATTCATGTTTTTCTGATGCAAGTACTCTTTTGCTAATCATTCAATTGGTTGTATTTAGTTTTCATAATATCAGAGGTTAGACTATTCTCTTCTGTTTAAAAAGTGTTAACATGATTTACTTATAAAATATATACACAAAGTAGCTATAGTATATACTTCAGTGCAACTCGAACATTGGCTTGAAGCCATTTAGAGTGAAATCCTTTCTACGCTAGAATGGTGATATAGTGATTAACAATCTAAAAGTCAAAGTATAAGTTTCTACAAAGGAAAAGTAATTTAATATGTCAAATTAGTAACTAATTTATAAAATATATATGGGTAGTGCAGATAGCTATAGAAAGTAAGGTATATACCTCCATGAAAATTCTATAGTGAGTGACCAACTATAATTATCCTAATTTAAGCATAAATAATTAATATTTTAGTTATTAATTTGATATGCGTAACTATGAAATATATCTCAAGCAAAAAATAAGAATTGAGATTGTATTATCATGTAGATAAATAAATAAATGTTATTAGAGCTCATCTTTATATTAAATTTAAAAGCAATAATTTAAATTATTAAGCGCCACATATTAGTTCATGTGAAAAAGTAAAGTAATATATGATCTATATACTTATTTAGTCAATCTATCAAATGTATTAAAATTATGATGACCACAGTCAAAATTATATGGTGGGTTCATATTAAATATAATTTATAAAAAAATAGTACATTAAAGTCAAAATTCTTTTAACCACTATATAGATTGTCTGAAATTTTTTGCATATATAAACTATACTGTTTAGGAATAGTGATATGCACACTTAATTATGAACTGATACATCTTAAAAGCGACTTACTCTTCAGTATCATCATTAATTAACGTATCTATGCATTACACTGAAACACAATGAAAATTTAGAAAACTATAAAAGAAACACCGTTAAAAGTTTTAAAAATTATAAAAAAACACCCTAAAAGTTTATAATTTACAAATACATAAAACTATTAAATATTATATTAAAATTAAGGAATTACCAAAAAATATTAAAAAAAGTTAAACTTTGGAGGGGTAATTTACAATATATTAAACTTTAAGGGTATTTTTTATAAATTTCAAATTTAATAGATTTTTAATAGTTATGTTCTTTTCAAAAAAGTTATGGGTAATATTGACCATGAAATTTTTTCTTAAACTTATACTTTTAAACATAGTATGATATTTTTTACAAATTTTTAATTTTCTAAGAGTTGTTAGTAATTTTGTATATTAATTTTAATATATAAAGGTTAGAAATTCTCATGGTGTTTTTTTTGAAAATTATGAATTTTAGGGACTTTTTATAATTTTTTAAACTTATAGGTCTTTTCTATAGATTGTAAATTATTTATAGACTATTTATAATTCCTATTTTTAATTTAATAATGAGTTTGAAATTCTCAGGTTATTTTTTGTAAATTTTTATTTTTTAGTTTTTGTTTTGTAATTTCTAAACTTTAGTGGTGTTTTCTATGAATTATAAATATGCACGGGATATTTGTAATTGCTATACTTTCAATGTAATATTAGGTTAGAAATTATTAGGATTTTTGTAAACTTTACAAAATTGAGGGTTTTATTTTGCAACTTATAAATAGTTCAGAGTGTTTGTTGCAAATTCCATAAATTTTTTAGGGTTGTTTGTGTTATTTATAGGTTTTTAGTGTAGGTTTGAAATTTTCAAGGTGTTTTTTTTATAAATTTTGAATTTTTAGGGATGTTTTTCCAAATTTCTAAACTTATAAGTTATTTTCTCCAAAGTCAAAAAAATTTTAGCTTCTAGTTAGCATATATTTTTTAGATTTCTCACTGAACTGAAATAAGTAAAATTTATAATTGTCAAGATATTTTAATAAAATTTAGAATTTATGGGGGTGTTTTTGAAATTTAAAAAACTTGGAGAATATTTTTTTACAAAGTCCAATTTTTTTTTAATGCTGGCTAGCATATGTTTTTCAGATTTCTCTGCGAACTGAAGTAAGTAAATGATTTGAATTATATCAAAAGTATCTCCTCTATCCAGTAGCATGTTAAGTCTCATTATGAATTGGATAAATCATTTAATTACCGATTCAAAGAGGATAGGATAATTAGAATAGATTAGGATAACAATATAATATTTAAAAAAATTAAGGGTAATATTGACCATGGAAATTTTTTTCCAAACTCATACTTTTAAATGGAGTGATAACTAATACTAATATACTATATAAGTATAATATTATATTATACTATATATACTATTATATAATCTATAATTATTATATACTATAATTATTAATATATATATAGAATAATGGAGTGAGCTGGCAGCCTCACCCTCCCATGAGCTGCAAGTGTGATGACAATGTGAGCCCGCACACCGAGGGACTAGTAGGGGGCTCACAGTTCCATTACACATTGCGCTCACGGGGAGAGGGACGCTGCCAGGCTCTCCTCCAACTTATTCTCACATATATCCATATACTTATATATATATATATTATATATATAATATTATATAATATATTATAATAATTTATATATTATAGTAGCTATACTTATAATATATATTATATATATATAGTCATATATTAGTAGGTATATATTATTGATTGGCCTTCTTATTTTTGATGTGTTTAACAAAACATTTACGTTCTAATGTGTTTGTCTAGTGTTGCCGCTGTGTTTTGTATTTGATTTAGGCAAACAAACGTGTGAGGATGGATGAAACTACGCAGCTCTCACACGATCATATCCCAAGGAGGTTGGCGGCTCAGCGCACCCTTCCGCAAGCGGAAGCCAACACATAAAGTCACAAGCTCATCCGCAGTACAGTGCTACAATAAGGACAGACAGGAAAAATTTATCATTATGTGTGTTAGTACTTTAAGCTCAATCATATACAACATACACGCCTTTGGTTTTGTTTGTAATATTATAGTTATATATATACATACTATGTTTTGGTCTAATAGGTTTCGAGTTATATATGAAAACAAATATATTTTCACTATAACATACTCATAGGTTTTATTTTATTGTATTTGTGAAATATTTGTATTCTTAGTTTGTAGACTTGTATATCAGTTTATACATGTTTTACTAAGTCTATAAAAACATTTCACAAGTTTCAAAAGTTGGTTTATGTCAAAAGACATTCAAAAA